CGCACGCGCGCCGAGGAGGCGTGGCCAGCGCCGAGGGGGCGTGGCCGCCGCGCGGGAGTGGGCGGGGCCTCGGCGGCTCCAGCGTGTCACACTCGCCCCCCCCCCGTCCATTCCGATTGGTCGCGTCCCCCCACCAATGAGAGCGCGCCGCGGTGACCTCATCGCTCGGCCGCCCCGGGCCGCGATTGGCTGCGTGCGGCCACGCCCCCTCCTTCCCCACGTGGGGGGCGGGGTGGGCGGGGCCTGCGGGCCGGCGCGGGCGCTGATTGGCCGCTGCCGGCGGCGGCTCCGCTGTTGCTGAGGGGAAGCGCGAGGGGCCCGGACGGGGCCGGAGGCGCCGGGAGCGGCCGCCGGGTGAGCTCATCCATATGCTAATGACATGCTAATGAGATGCGCCGGGCATGACAGACCCCCTTTCCGCCATGGGGGAAAAGGGGGGGGGGGGTAGCCGCCCCTCCCCCCCTCCCCCCTCCGAGCCGGATTTTGGGTGGGGGGTGGGGAGGGAGCGAAGGGGGCGGGGCGCGCGGGGCACGCCGGGAAGTGGAGTTTTTTTTGGGGGAGGAAAGACTCGATTTCCCGGGGGGCCGCGCGCGGCGCGGGGCACGCCGGGAGTTGTAGTGCGCGGGGGGGGCGGGCGCGATCCCGGCGTGCCCCGCGCGGCCACGCCCCCTCCACGACCACCCAAAGTAAACAAGCCCCCCCCAAGCCACGCCCCCGCTCGCTTCCCATTGGCTACTGTACTCCCGGCCGCGCCCCCCGCGCGCGTCGCGATTGGTCACTGTCAGCCGGGGGAAGGGGGCGGGGCGCCGGCGGGAGGAGCGCGGCGCCCATTGGCCGGCGCGGCTGTCCGTCGGGCCGTTGTGGGCGCTGATTGGCCGCGGCCGCGGCTGCTCCCGCTTCATTCACCATTTTGTCGGCCGGAGTAAACCGGGGCTCCCGCGGGCCCGGCGGCCGCGGGGGGGGCGCAGGTACCGGGGGGGGGGGCCCGAGACCCCCCGGGGGGGGTGGGGGGGGGGGGGGGTGAGGGGGGCCCCCTCCGGCGGGTCACCGGCGCGGGGGTGACCCCCCGGATTTGGGGAGCCGGACCCCCATTTTGGGGTTCGGGACCCCGAATTTGGGGTGCGGGACCCGAATTTTGGGGTGCGGGACCCGAATTTTGGGGTGCGGGACACGAATTTTGGGGTGCAGGACCCTCCTGTTGGGGTTCCGGATCCCAAATTTGGGGGTGCGGGACCCCCATGTTGGGGCTCCGGACCCCAACCTTTGGGTGCAGAACCCCGAATTTGGGGTGCGGGACCCGAATTTTGGGGTGCGGGACCCGAATTTTGGGGTGCAGGACCCTCATGTTGGGGTTCCGGATCCCAAATTTGGGGTGCGGGACCCCCATGTTGCATTTCGTGACCCCGAATTCGGGGCTCCGGACCCCAACTTTTGGGTGCAGAACTCCGAATTTGGGGTGCAGGACCCGAATTTTGGGGTGCGGGACCCCCCTGTTGGGGTTCCGGATCCCAACTTTGGGGTGCAGAACTCCGAATTTGGGGTGCGGGACCCGAATTTTCGGGTGCGGGACCCTCCTGTTGGGGTTCCGGATCCCAAATTTGGGGGTGCGGGACCCCCTGTTGGGGCTCCGGACCCCAACTTTTGGGTGCAGAACCCCGAATTTGGGGTGCGGGACCCGAATTTTGGGGTGCGGGACCCCCATGTTGCGTTTCGTGACCCCGAATTCGGGGCTCCGGACCCCAACTTTTGGGTGCAGAACTCCGAATTTGGTGTGCAGGACCCGAATTTTGGGGTGCGGGACCCCCTGTTGGGGCTCCGGACCCCAACTTTGGGTGCAGAACCCCGAATTTGGGGTGCGGGACCCGAATTTTGGGGTGCGGGACCCCCATGTTGGGGTTCCGGATCCCAAATTTGGGGTGCGGGACCCGAATTTTGGGGTGCGGGACCCCCTGTTGGGGTTCCAGATCCCAAATTTGGGGGTGCGGGAACCCCATGTTGGGGCTCCGGACCCCAACTTTTGGGTGGAGAACCCCGAATTTTGGGTGCGGGACCCGAATTTTGGGGTGCGGGAGCCCCGTGTTGCGTTTCGTGACCCCGAATTCGGGGCTCCGGACCCCAACTTTTGGGTGCAGAACTCCGAATTTGGGGTGCGGGACCCGAATTTGGGGTGCGGTACCCTCCTGTTGGGGTTCCGGATCCCAAATTTGGGGGTGCGAGACCACCATGTTGGGGCTCCGGACCCCAACTTTTGCGTGCAGAACCCCGAATTTGGGGTGCGGGACCCGAATTTTGGGGTGCGGGAACCCCCTGTTGGGGTTCCGGATCCCAAGTTTGGGGTGCGGGACCCGAATTTTGGGGTGCGGGACCCCCATGTTGCGTTTCGTGACCCCGAATTCGGGCCTCGGACCCCAACTTTTGGGTTCGGGACCCCGAATTTGGGGTGCAGAACTCCGAATTTTGGGGTGCGGTACCCTCCTGTTGGAGTTCCGGATCCCAAATTTGGGGTGTCGGCCCCCCGTTGCGGTGTCCCCGCGGAGTTTTGGGGGTCCCGGCGCTGTCACCCCCCTCCCCATTTTGGGGGTTCGTTGTGGGCCCGGGGGGGTTTCTCTCTCCCCCCCCCCACACCGGGGCTGATTTTTGGGGCTCTCCCCGCAGGACCCCGCGGCGCCGTCCCGGCGGGAGGACGATGAAGCCAGCGAGGAAGGCCGGCGGCTCCTCCTCCTCCTCCTCCTCCTCCTCCTCCTCCTCCTCCTCGTCCTCAGCGCCCCGCGCCGCGCTGCCCCCCCCGGGCCGCCCCAAACCCCCCAAAAGCGACGAGGACGCCCCTTCCTCCCCCCTGCCCCCCTCGTCCTCCTCCTCCCCGCAGCCCCCCCCGGAGGAGCCGCCCCCCCCCAGCCGCAAGACCACCACGTTCAAAGCCCGCGCCCCCCGCAAGAAACCCCCGCCGGCCTCGGGCGAGCCCGCCGACCCCCTGGGCGACCCGGAGCCCTCGGCCGGCGGCAGCGGCTGCTCCAGCACCGACACGGCCAGCGAGCACTCGGCCGACGAGGGCGGCGGAGGAGGAGGAGGAGGAGGAGGAGGAGGAGGAGCGGGAGGAGGGGGCCCGGCCCCGCTGCCGCTACCGGCGACCCCCGGGGACCCCCCCGAGCTGGAAGCGGCGTTCCGGCGGCTCCGCTGCCAGCGCGTCCTGGCCCGGCGCGACGGCGTTTTCCGCCCGGCCGTGGTCAAGCAGCTCCGGCGCGGCCACGAGCTCGGCGTTCAGTTCGCCGGCGACCGCGGCGTGACTTTCCTGGAGGGCGGCTTCCTCCTCGGAGACCCGCCGGCCGTGGTGTTGGACGCCACGCCGCCGGCCGGAGCGCTGGGCGTGGGCACGGCGGTGTGCGCCCGCCTGGACCCCGCCGAGACTCTCTACCGGCCGGGCACGGTGGTGGAGGTGAGCGCCAAGCCGCCCTCGTACCGGGTGCGCTTCGCTCCGCCGCCCCCCGCGCCCCCCGTGTGGGTGCCGCGCTCGGGGCTCCGCCTGCTGCGACCCCCGTGGCCGCCGCACGCCCGCGGCGACCCCGCCGAGGATGAGGAGGACGAAGCCGCCGCCGCCGCTCCGAGGCAAGCGGAGGACGCCGAGGTTTCCAAGCTGAGCGCCGGAGCCCCGGCCCGGCCCGGCGCGGCTCCGCCGGCCGCGGGAACCCCGCAGAGCTCGGCCGGGGGGACCCCGCAGCCCAAATACAAGAAGGGCGACGTGGTTTGCACCCCGAACGGCATCCGCAAGAAATTCAACGGCAAGCAGTGGCGGCGGCTCTGCTCCCGCGACGGCTGCACCAAAGAGTCGCAGCGGCGCGGCTTCTGCTCCCGTCACCTCTCCATGCGCACCAAGGAGCTCGAGGGGCTCCCCGAGACCCGCGGGGGACCCCCGGGACCCTCGAGCCAACGCGGCGGCAGCGCCGATTTCGAGTGGGGAGACGAAACGTCCCGGGAGAGCGACGGCGACGGCCGCGCTCGGCTCGGCGGAGCGGCCGCGGCGCCGCCGCCCAACCCGGACCTGTCGCGCTTCGAGTTCGACGAGTGCGAAGCCGCCGTGATGCTCGTGTCGCTGGGCTCGTCGCGCTCGGGCACGCCGAGCTTCTCGCCGGCCTCCACCCAGTCTCCCTTCTCGCCCGCTCCTTCCCCGTCCCCGTCTCCCCTTTTCGGTTTCCGCCCCGCCAACTTCAGCCCGGTCAGCGCCTCGCCCCGCGCCCGCGGGCGGCACCTGAGCGCCGGGACCCCGCGGCCCGGGGAGGGGCTGAGCCCTCCCCCTCCGCCGCCCCCTCCTCCCCCTCCGCCGCCCCGAGCCCGGCCGCCGTCGGGGCTGCCGCCGGTGTTCCAGCCCGGCCTGCCGTTCCCGGTGCCGCTGAGCCCCGGTAAGCGCAAGGCAGAGGCGGCGGAGCCCCCGGAGAGCGGCGGCACCGGCACCGGGGGGATGTTCCGAGCGCTGTCGCCGCTGTTCGCCCCCCGCTCCCCCGCGGGGCTCACGGCGGACCCCGGCCCCGCCGCCCGCCGCGTCCCCCCGGTGCCCCGCGGCTCTCCGGTCATCGTCCGCAACCCCGACGTGCCGCTGCCCGACCCTCCGCGGCCTCGCCCGCTGCCCCCGCCCCAAAAAGCCGCCCTGGCCGCGCCCGTGCCCATCAACGCCGGCCGCCTGCGACCCCCGAGCCGCCCGCAGCCGCCCCCCGGCCCCGCCGCCGCCCCCGGCGCCGCTTTCGGGGCTCCCCCGCTGCACCCCGCGCCTTTCCACCCGTCCCCCGCCGCGCTGCTGCCGCTGCTCGTGCCCGGAGAG